AGATAAAACACCAATCTCAATACTGCTGTATTTTTAGATCTTTGTAATGTTATGTGTATATTTGTTTCAATATTATGTTGATGTTGTTGTTGTTTCAGGGTTTGTTGGAGTTCTCCGCTCACGTCCTGAAGAAAGTTCCTTTTGTGTACTGCGATTTTCATGGGCATTCCAGGCGGAAAAACGTGTTCATGTACGGTTGCTCCCCCAAAGAAAGCTGGCTCGAGGCCGATAGAGAATCAGCTCAAGAAACCTCGTTTGAATATTTGGTAAGTTTTCATGACAGTTTTTCAAAAACGGACAACGCTGAAAATTTACAGCTCATCATTGGTTGTAAAACCGCTGTAGCCAAAAAATCGATTCGATTATTTTATCAAATGCGAACTCTGAAAGATGAAAATATTACACTGGAAATGAAACACAGTAAAACAGTTGATTTTGAGCTTTCCCCGTTTTTCTGTGCTGAACTGAATGCAAATTAAGTTGGAATTTGTTTAGCCAACGTGCGTTAAAAATCAGCATAAAGCTGAAAATGTCAATACAGAGGGAAAAAGCTCTCACGCGTGCACAATTTTCCCTCAAATAGATACGCTGTTTGGTGCAACACTATAATAACGAGTTTGTATTGAGATTTTCAGCTTTATGCTGATTTTTAACGCACGTTCGCTACAATAATTCCAACTTACTGTCTTACGACCCGTGCGTCCACGGCAATCAGTTTTCATGAATGCAAATTGTAACAAAAGCAACAAAAAAATGGGGATTATTTTGTGTTTCTTTTCCTTTTATTGACCGTAAGTAACACTAGAACACAAACATTTTCCTCAGTGTAATACAAAATTCCGTTAAATTCAGTTCAACTCGTAGGCCGTTATGGGATGCATGTTCAATTAGAAACTAGATATTCATGGTCAGGGTTAGAAAATATTCCCAATCACGGGAGCCAAAGTTGGACTAAAATTTTGAAAACCGCAAAAATTGTGGAAATTCCCTGGGTCTTTTTTCTTTTGGCGACGTCCGGCGTAGAAGCGGTACAATAATCCATTATTACCATAAGTTTAATAATTTCTCTTCACCAGTCGACCGAAAAACCTGACGACTAAAAAATAAAAAAATAAAATTAAAAACAAAGGCCACTTTTGTGAAAGCTCTTTTTCAGCTCCCGCAAAATTATGGAAAGCAGGGAACTTAATGGAACACTATTCATGATCACCAGACCTCCTGCCAAATGTATGGAAAAATCGACGGATTCAAAACATTTGATCATCCGCTGAAGTCATTTAACAAATTGCAGACTTGACTACCTGTACTGCCTATGCCTATACCTATACTTGACTGCCTATATGACACCACCATCCGCTGGGTTTACGCGATCGGGAAAATAGGGAAAATATGGCAAATTCATCGCCTGATTACGAGACAAACATCTTTAAACAAATTGAACTTTTCTCTTTCCTTTCTCTTTCGTCTCTCTGTTTCCGCTTTTCTCTCGTGTGTCTCGTTGTGGGGCGGTTTTCAGACTTCGATGGACTATGGGGATAAGCAAACTCATTTTTGTAACCACCATGGGTAAAAAACACTTCTCCCTTCCCTCCAAAAAAAAAAAAAAAATATTAAAATATTTTTACTTGACAGAAAAGTGCCAGGCGAAAATTTGAGATTTCGATGACCGGAGTGATTCTGATGCTTAATTTGTTGTTTTTTAATCTGTGCACGCACGGTAAATATTTAGAAAAACTCTTTAGAACTTAAAACAGGCGGAAACGAACTTGTTTTTTGTTCACTAAATGATGAAACTAAAAATTCCCTTCATTAACATCAGGTGAGTCCCGGACCGCTAGTGAATCTTCTCTGTGTGCTTTGAATACTGATGTACGTTTGAGCTAGTAATGTTGCCTATACACTAATTTTTGGGCGTTTTATATGGCAAAATATTGGAAGGAACCTGGCCCTCCTAAATTTCCCGCTATTACATAATAGTGCGTAAAACAGAGCCTACCTCAACCGTCAGTGAAATTGACTGTCAATGACCTACCACCCTTTTTACCTTCCCAAATTTATCCGATGGCGAGCTAAAACTGATAACGTTACGTTAAAGCGTTAAACCTCGCGTTTAAAATTTTGAGTTAGGTCAAACAACTGTATAATAATAAAATGGAACTTAATTTTTGCAGATTTGACTATTTTTTCTTCGTAGGAAGCAACTAGAAATTATTAGATTTTAGTAAACAAGCGTTAAAGCTTTCAAAATTTTAATTTCTAGCAAGAATTTATTCACCTACCGAGGTCGAATGAAAATATGTGTGACGTAATCCAATATGAACATCTTATCTGATTTAAAAAAAAAAAAAATTGTCCTCATTCATCGGAGAATTGAACTTGTTCACGTAGTGTTGTGTGTTGAGGTTAGAGGGCCTTTTTAAAATGTGTTCGTTGTTTTTAGTTTTATGCTCTGTCATCTTCGTAAACGCCAACAATGACTCTATTTTCGTTGATCCCACCACTAAAAGTTCGTTTCATAGAATTTTCGGACCGGAGCATAAACACCTACTAATTTCTTTACTGAACTCGTTTCAAATCCCAAAAATCCAGGATGTGTCGTACTTAAAGAATGTCGAAACGAACATTAAAGACCATGAAGATATACGTATGGGAATAGTTGGTGAAACCGATTCTAACTCTTATTTCAGCATCCAGATTCAAATCCACGCAAACAAATCTAATTCGCTAGATCCCCTCCTTTTGAACAAAACCGAGGTTATAACAGAACCGTTAAAAATTGAACCGGCAGGATTGCATATTGTTGCCATACTCGTTCACAACACAATAACTAATGGTTCGAAATATATCTCTCACTGGACCCGCCGCACAAAGCAAGACCCATCCTCTACAGGGAGTCTAATCGTTGAGCCTATGTCTCTTACCACGGTAGAACTCGAGAAGTTCGACATTGAACTACCCGATGAGCTGGTCGACTTCGCTGATCAGTGGGCGTACTTTCTAAAATTTGCTTCAAGCCAGGATGAACTTGACAGAAAAGACATTCCGAAATTTAAGAAAGAAATTCAGGAGGCTTTCCGACTTGCGGAAATCAAGAACTTGAGTCCGGTTCAACGCGCGTGTTACGACAAAGAATTGCAGTGTAGAAATGTTCTAAAGGAACAGCGAGAAGTTGAGTTGCAGCGTGCTTTTGACGATAAAGTTGAACGAGAATCGTGGAGGATAAAAGTGAATACTGCACGTACCATGAAGAAAGACAATGTTAGTCTGGATATAATTTCTAAGTGTACTGGTCTCGAGGAGGGATACATTAAACTTCTGCAGTGAAAGTTTTTATTATTGATGAACTCCGTGTTCTATGAAAAATGTTCCGGTTGAAATGTATTTTTGTGAGACGTTCTGAAATCGAAAGTCTTTTTATTTCTTTTTTTTTTCTCGGTAACACATATTTTATTAGTTTCATATTACAAGATGGAATGGGGCCGGACTGCTGCAGTGCTGCCCCACCCTAAATTGGAAGAAGTACATTTCTATAAAGGTATTAGAAAGCTTAACGCAATGTCTTGTGGATCTTAAAATTGTAATTATGATTCTTATTCTACTTTTGTTGATATTCGGTCTTATTACAGGTTTTTATTACAAAATTTTGATTATTTAATATATATCCATCAAATTCCGGCCATCCTCTCGGATATTAGGTACATCGGTATCTAAAGTCGTTTAAAGTATAATTTTCCAATGTACTTTAGAGACCAAGATTTAATAAAAACAGCAGAAAACAAGCCTTGCCGTTCAGTTAGATGTTTTTTTACTGGAGGGAACTATATGTGAATAGGGCTTGCGTGCGATAATTGCGATATACTCCTAGTTCCAACCATGTAGCGTAAATAAGTTCATTCGGACCTATTTCTGCCAAATGGAACTATGTGCATTATAACGGGAGTCCTGAGACCCATGAGAATGTATGCACAACAGGGTTCACGTCATAATGCGCATAGTTTCTTCGGCAGAAATACGTCCATTTGACAAGAGCGAAACCTCAATTACTGAAAAATTTTCAGAGGTAAATCGTCACCTTCCAGGCAAAGTATCACAAGCGCCATGCGACGTTTAAAAATGTCCGCCGCCATTTTATTTTTTTACAGAGAAATTGTTCAACGAAGCTGTCCGAAAATTTCACTGAATTTTCTTTGTGCTGTCGATAAAATTTAGTGAAATTTCCAAACAGATTCAACCAACAATTTCTCAGTAAAGAAATAAAATGGCGGCGGAAATTTTTAAACGTCGCATGGCGCTTGTAATACTTTGCCTGGAAGGTGACGAAATGCTGCAACATTTAAATATTTCCGTCCACTTTTCAAAACAGTAGTTAAGTTCTTGCCGCTTCATTAAAATTTATTGTGAAGATTTACTGCAAAATTAAAATTTTTTCTCCGTTGAAAAAGTATTACTTTCCGCAACTATGTTCAAACATTCTGTTAAAAGCTTTGAATACACAACTTTACCTGTCATCAACCCGTGTTAATTTTTTTTCTTGATTTGTTTCTTGTTCAGAAATTGTTATACTGACTCTTCGTGATGTATATCGTTTTTTAGGCAAGATTTTGAGGGGAAAATATTCCTTATCCAGAAGCCTATTTGCTTATTCACGTGAGAAACAGTTTTTGAGATTGCTTGTTTATTGAGTATGATTTTTCTTACGTCTCTCTTTGGGAAACCCTGACTGCCGGCGACATAAATGCTCGCAAATTTTGGGGGAAATGCGCGCATTATGCGCCAAAAAGTTGATTTTAGACATTTCTGATGTGTTCTGCGTGATCAAGCACATCAAAAATGTTCCATTACGCATAATGTAGCATACGCAACAAGTATATGTCATTAGTTTCCCTGTACAGATACTTCTGTTTATGGAGCAGAAATAGTAGATCTTTATTAAGAAATGCCAGTTCAGGAAGGCTCTTTTTAAAGTTGCTCAGTTTATGTTGACAGCATTTATATTGGAAGCTAATTAAACATACGATGCTCATAAATTGAGCCAGGAATATTTGTTTCCAATCGCAAACTGATTACTAATGTGGATAAACTTTAACATTGCTTCAGGAGAGGGGGACCAATTTGACCGAGTTCATCAGGAGGGAACCAACCCACGTGAAATTAAAACTGAGAAAAGGAGGTTTGAAGTTTTATTCCTGCATAAGGCTCAATGTAGAAAATAAACGTTAACCCCTCTTTTCACCAACTAGTTTCTGTTCTTTAACTTTCAGTTTTTAGTAGGAGAAAATATACGGTTAGTGGAACTCAAAAACATTTTTAACTCAATTTGTTTCGAAAATGTGCGTGGGTCAGTTCCTTTCTGATAAACTTGGTCCAATTATCCTACTCTATACGAAATGAAGTTTTAGAGTGCCGATTACGATGCCGATAATGTGAAGAGACACCTTTCCCTCCGTTAAAGCATGGTACAGATATGGCTCTCGGAGGAGCGCGCGTGTAGTGAACGCCGTGATATTAAGTGGGTTTTGATCGTACAGGCAACTGAACTAACTCCATGACAAAGCGTAGGGTATCACAAAAAATGAAGGCGCTCAAAAAAACCGCGATCATCCTTTTGAAGGCCATAACCCTCAAAGATTTTATTAAACCGATGCGCATTTTTGCGATTCATCGAAACAACATGTAAACCGTTTGTGCATTGCCGGTGATCGGTGATTTCCTGTGACAAGTATACACCACGATAGGAATTTCTTGCTGACAGAAATAGGAAATCTTCTCGAATCAAACAGCATTCTGATTCATAGAGGCGTTTGATCGAGAATGGGTCAGTCATGACACCTATTTATTTTAATTCACTTTCTGAAAGTTTGGAAAAATATTCTGTGAAAATTCCAGGTCATGATGGTGGTTCGGTTTCATTTTCAAATATATAATAGGAGCCGAGATTCTGGAACACCATACGCATTTTTAAAATTTCATCACACAGAAAAAAAAAAAAATTATGGGCTATATAGATATACCATCCGTTCCGGGCTCAGAGGACGAAGGTTCCGGATGCCTAAGTTGTAGCTTCGATTGTTCCGGGCGCTCCGCCCGGAACTTTTAGCCTCTGAGCCCGGAACGCAGACGGTATGTCTAGAAACCTATGTATATTTATAACATTTCCCGAAAATACTTTATTTGTCGAAGGGAATTGGGCGACGTCTGAAGGCTCATACGTTGTTTTCTTTCATACGTTGTTGTGCACGGCAAGCATTCCAGTCGTAGAATTTTTACAGGAGTACTTCTTCAATGCACGACTAGTTTTCTCGACATTCGTCAAATCATTCGCTCAAGTTCAATTTTCATGTTGTTTGACCGTGTTGTTGCGTGTTGTTGCAGGTGTTGAGTCACTCGATGCAGAAGTACTGTTCAGCATTTAGCCTGCCGTCATGTCACTTCCGCGTGGAACGGAGCCGGGAGTCCACAGCCCGCATCACCGTCTGGCGGGAATTCGGCATACAGCGCAGTTACACCCTTGAAGCTAGCTACTGCGGTTGCGACCAAGGGGTTTACAAGGTAGACACAACCTCCTCCTCCTCNCTCAGCGCAGGCTCAAAATCCGTGAAGAATATATCCATGGCCGAAGTACGGCATCACGTATCCACCACATTTTTCAATAAATAACTACTTTGTCTCGTTCATCTTAGAAGAAAAACTATATGCAATTACACCGAAAAAAAATTGAAGTTGATTTAAAATTCTGGATGTAAAAACAGTGTGCGAGAACTTACAAAATGCTGAATTACCCGCTACAGCAGTTACTTTAGCAATGCCGAGATGTAAAAGTAACTGCTGTAGTGGATAGTTCAGCATTTTGTAAGTTCTCGCACACTTTTTTTACATCCAGAATGTTAAATCAACTTCACTTTTCTTTCGGTGTAATTGCCCTATGCAGAAAGGTGCTTTTACGATTTTAGGACTACTCACCACGAATTCATCACCCAAGGTTCAATTGGACGCATTTCTGCCAAACGGAACTATGTGCATCGAGCTCTGAGACCCATAGGAATGTATGCATAACACGGCTCACGTAATAATGCACATAGTTCCGTTTGGCAGAAATACGTCCAAATCACCCAGACCTTTTCACCCACAACTCTTAACCCGTATCATTGATGTCCCCATACACTGTTGTAAACATTAATTTTTGCAAAAAAAAGTTTCACCTACATGTTTTTTACACTAACCGCGGGAGTCGTAGGGGGGTTCGAGTTGAAGGCGAACTTGATTTCTAACTCCAGTTTCTAGTTTTTCAGATCCGTCCTATAGAGGGCGGTGTTCAGTTCTAACTTTTGCAACTTTTCTCAATGTCAACGTCAAAATATTTTTCGGTCGGGCGAATCGAGTAAAAGTTATGGGACGTTCCGCTGCGGTGGTCACTAGAAACACGAATATTACAACGAAAGTTATTCGTCCCTGGACATCACGCTAAACTAATATGCGTGATACAACTATTTCAACTCCTAAGCCGCTCAAATTGCATCCATCAAGTTGAAGGCGAACTTGATTTCTGACTCCGGTTACCAGTATTGAAGGCTGGACCTCGAGAGNTTTCTAAAAGTAGGTAATTTTTAGTTTCCTATTCTTTGTTTTTGAATTATCATTTTGCCTCTAGGAGGTCCTCTAAGCACTGGTAGTAGCAAAATTTGGCTCGCGAAGCGAGCCAACAGTTACTCGCGGAGCGAGTAACTGGGGGTCCAGGGGGCTTGCCCCCGGCTAGCGGCGCAAGCGAGCGTAGCGAGCTGAAGCAGCTAGTATCATTAATGTCCCTATACACTGTTGTAAACATTAATTTTTGCAAAAAAAAGTTTCACCCACATGTTTTTTACACCAACCGCGGGAGTCGTAGGGGGGTTCGAGTTGAAGGCGAACTTGATTTCTAACTCCAGTTTCTAGTTTTTCAGATCCGTCCTATAGAGGGTGGTGTTCAATTCTAACTTTTGCAACTTTTCTCAATGTCAACGTCAAAATATTTTTCGGTCGGGAGAATCGAGTAAAAGTTATGGGACGTTCCGCTGCGATGGTCACTAGAAACACGAATATTACAACGAAAGTTATTCGTCCCTGGACATCGCGCTAAACTAATATGCGTGATACAACTATTTCAACTCCTAAGCCGTTCAAATTGCATCGATCAAGTTGAAGGCGAACTTGATTTCTGACTCCGGTTACCAGTATTGCAGGTTTGACCTCCAGAGCAGTGCTCGATTGTGACTTTAGTGAAATGCAACTCAATGGAAACACTTTTAGGTTTAAAAAAAAAACATCTATGGGCTAAAAAGACATGGGTCAAATCGCGATGAGAATAGTCCCTTAGGCGGAAAAAATTGTGGGTGAGCACTGCCGTGCTATGGAAGAACGCCGTATGAACATTCAAGAGTTGCCAAATTGCCCCGGAAAAAATAAAAGTTTGAGACCGATTATGCGTATTTTTCCTTGAAATTTTTGGGCATTAAAGATGAAATTGAGAACAAAATTGTCCGAAAAGTGAAGAAAAAGATTCAAGATTTTCCCAGTAAATTGAGGTTTTATCGAAGGAAATGTGCCAATGTCTGAAGGCTCATTACGGCGTTCTTCCTTAGCACGGCAGAGTAGTCCTGGCACCGCTTTTACAGATGAAAGTTGACTGTAGATCTTCACTGCAAAATATAATTCTAATCTCCTTAGTAGATCATCCTTTTACCGTGTGGTTTTTAAAGAGATTGAATCCTAGGTAGTAACCTGCTTTTTATCTCGTTTAATTTCTTCAAGATTTTACGACTGATTGTGATGGTTTTTTGTTTGTCTCAAGGGTTACCATTTCGACACACTGCACCTCCTGGAAATTGGAGCTAATTTCGGAGTAGCACTCAGCACCTTGGCAGAAGAAACGGTGAAAAGGCTCGATGGCTTTGACACCCGTATGATCGAGAGGTCAGTCTCATAAATCAATGTACAACAGTTTAATGAATATGATCTATCATTTGGACGTATTTCTGTCAAACGGAACTAAGCGCCATAGGGGGAGGAATGTAGAGGGAGGCTTGGATTGGCGGCGGAATCGGGCGTCCGGCTTATTCCGTCCTATACTCGCAATGCTTTTCAATGGCGCTTAGGTCCGTTTGACAGAACGCGCTATCCGGCATTCTAAATTCCTCAAAAGGAACTCAAATTGGCGCTTAGTTCCGTTTGATAGAAATACGTCCATTTTTGCGTAAATTTGACGGATTTCAGGCAGAGCACTGCTGTGCTAAGGAAGAACGCCGTATGAGCATTCGAGAGTTGCCAAATTTCGTTCGATAAAATGCTTATTTTTGAGGATAGTTGCGAATATTTTTCCTTTAAATTTTTAGACTCTTTAGGCGAAATTGCGAACAAAATTATCTGAAAAATTGGGAGAAAAATATTTATAAGTTTACAAGAACATTCGCGTTTTATCAAAGGAAATTTGGCAACGCCTGAAGAATCGTTCGGCGTTTTTCCTTAGCACGGCAGAGTATCCACTCGGAGAGAGTACAAATACGTCGGTAATTTGAACTTATTTCTACCAAACGGAACTATGTGCATTATGACGTGAGCCCTGGCACGCATATATTATTATGGGTCTTATTTGGACCGCGTTAAACAGAAAGGAACCAAGCCACATCAGCTATTGCCAAATTTAATTGGGCAATTTAATTTTTTACATGAAAACGGTTGTGCGGATTTTCGTGCAAATTTCAGTGAAAATTCTCCATGGTTAGAAGCAAATTCCTTTAAATTTTCAAAGAAATCCGAACAAACGTTCTCTCGTAAAAAAATTAATTGCCCAGCTAAACTTGGCAATAGCTGATGTGGCTTGGTTCCTTTCTGTTAAACTCGGTCCATTTTTTATTCCCCATTTTCATACATGTTTTTTGGCAGATTAGGTCATTTTGTCATATTTCCGCCGACAATTATTGTTCAGTTCAGAAATCAAGGATATCCTCGTGCTCAGGTTTCCTAGCAGTTTCATTTTAAACGTGAAATTTACAAAATTCTAGATACCTGCAAATTCTCCATTAGGAGACAATCAAAAGAGAGCACGGACTACGGGCGGATTGTTGAAATTGACAGACAAAGCTATTGACAAGAAAGACATAGGGAGTATGGAGCGATTCCATTGGTTGAAACGGGTGGTTCCTATAGACTGAGGGAGAAAACGATGGACTAACTGTCGGGTCTTCCGTGGGTTGGCGTTAATTCTGCCGTGCTAAGGAAGAACGCCGTATGATCATACAAGAGTTGCCAAATTTCCTTCGATAGAATGTTTATTTTTGAGGAAAATTATGCATATTGTTCCTTGAAATTTTCAGTATCTTTAGGGAAAGTTGCAAACTACTTTATCTGAACAAATGTTCGCTATGTTATGAATGAAACCAGAAAATTCGCATTTTATGATAGGAAATTTGGCAACGCCAGAAGGTTCATACCTACTGCCTTTTTACTTAGTACGGCAGAATCAGTCTATCACCTACCTCATTTGTCCATTGCAATTACCCACTTCCACCAATAGGATCCCTTCATATGCCTGTTGTCTTCTTTGTCTATCGCTTTGTCTACCAATTTCAGCCATCTACCCCGTAGAATGAACAATTGTGCGCATAATATCTTCAGATTCGCGCATAATATTTTCAGATTCGCGCATATCTTCAGATTTGCTCATAATATCTTGAGATTCGCGCATAATATCTTGAGATTTGCTTATTCTAACTTGGGTTTGTTTCTGTTGGGGGTGGCGTTGGCGGGGCTTAGGTTGGTGAAGGAGACGAGTCCCGGCTTCTCGAACGAGGACGGCGAAGGGAGCAAAGACGAGGATTCGGACGACGACCTCCTTCTCGACGAGGACGAGGATGATGACGAATCCCATCGCCCCGAGTCCTGAACAACTCACCGCATACTCCATTGCACACCCTGTACACACATCGCAATTCATACCCTTATAATTATACTTTAAGCTTGGTTAAGGCGGTTTAGGGTAGTCTTAATTTGTGACCCCTCAGCGGGCTCATTATTCAGGGTTGCCACGGTTAGGGAACCGGGAAATGTCAGGGAATTTTAGAAAGTCAGGGAAAACGACGAAAATGTCAGGGAAAATTTGTTTAATCACCTTTAATTGCTTTCTAGAATGGATTTGAGGTTTCGAACAACAAATTTCGTCTGAAAATTATTTTCAATTATGCCCTCTTAACCATCCGTCGCCTCTTCAATTGTCAGGGAATTCCACCAAAATGTATCAGAGAAATCAGGGAAATGTCAGGGAATTTCATTTCCTAAATTCTGTGGCAACCCTGTTATTGGAATAAAATACGGGGGCGTATGCAGTAGCGGATCCAATGCAGTGGCAACATCGTCTTTTCTCCATTTAAATCAATGGAAATGTATCGATTCTTAACCGGTCCAGGTTTTCTGACAAGAAACGATTATTTATCATAGGTTTAAATGGAGGAAATCCGGTGTTGTCAAATTGTTGGATGCGCCTCTGGGCGTATGTTCTGAAAAATAAGAATTTGCTGAAAAATTTTGTTCAAAAATTACGAATTATTAAAATTACGAAAAATTATGAATTTCATTGGTCGTCGAGAAGATTTCCTTGTGAATCAATACTTCAATTGCTGAATTCGAACAATCGCTAATTGACCTATGCTGTTTGATTCAAGAGAAATAAATTTGCCACTTCAAAAATATTATTGCTTCAATCAAGTGACTTTTTCCGAGTGTTGTAGAATTTGTCAGAAAGTTGTAGTTTCTCAGCCCCGCTTCAAAGTTTCACTCAAAGTATTGATAGTCCTGATACTTCTACTGTTACAGTGTCATACTTTTTAGATTTTACCATTTGCATTCATGCGATTATTAATAATACCCAGACAAGATAAAACGCTTTAAACTAAAAAGTCGAAAGAAATTTTCAAAAATACGCTCAATAGACGTGAGTCTAGAAAACTGAGAATCAAACATTTGTGGTGCAAATATTTTACGGATTGGATAGATTTTATTTCTGACTAATTTAGAGTAAATGAAACATTTAACTTTCCATTAATATGACTCAAATGCGAATAGTAATTTTCCCAGGCAGTTTTTTTCAAACTGAAGCTTGTCAATAGTGCGGGTATATGGATTGAGCGAGTCTTTTGATTGTAAAGTTTTTTTGTTTTTTTTTCTTAAAGTTTTCTTCTATAATATTATAATACCTACTCATTTTACAAATTGAATCAGCTATTACAGAAAGGGCACAATCGACATTTTTTTCGAAATTGAGTTTTTTGCGGTTTTCGCATTAGTGTATGTAGACACATCCTGTAGTGCAGACAGGGCACTATATTCGCATTTTTTATGTGTTTTTGACAGGGGTTAAGTTCCTCACGTAGAGCAGAAAGGGCACTGTTGCAGCAATATAGTGCCGTTTCTGCAGTTCATGCCCACTGGGTGCGCGCGCATCGGCAGCGGCAACTCGTCGTTTGTTTTGTTTTGATACGATTGAGAGGTTAGTTTTGCGTTTCGAAACGACAGTGATCACGCTACACGCTTCACTCACGCTGAAAATGAAAGGAGTGAGAATTTATGAATTGAACCTTGAGTGTAGGAAGTGAGAGGAGCCCTTAACAGGTTGGATGAGGAAGTAGGTATAAGATTACTACGCTAATGAACTTCAAAGGATACATTTTTTTTTTAAATTTCTTGACTTGAAATAAGCCAGAAATATTTTTAGAATTTACAGAGCTGTGGGCAAACCTCATGGTGAAAGTTCGAAATCGCATACCATCAATTGCGACATTGCCAATTTTATTTCGTCTTCTTTTTTTGTTCTTAAGTATTCTCTATTGAAATTTTGTGTAAATTTTCTTCACACCATCAAGATTGTTTTCTGAAAATTTCATGGAGAAATCTCTATTAGTTCTCTTTAAAAAAGTAGTATAAGAAGAGAGCAGAAATTTTTAAACGTTGCAATGGAGATATACAATTTCCAACTTTCGCTATAGACATGCATCATTGCCATACATTTGAGATGAAAAACAAGGGCTAAAATAATTTTCTGGCTTCATTCTATCACTCTTTATGGCTCCTTCCCCCATGTATTACAGAAAGGGCACTAATGCTCTTCCTTCAAGTATCATTATTTACAACCCAGAAAGAGTATCATGTAAAATTTTTTTATGGAAATTGTCAGTCTACTTGGGGGACAAAAGAAAACCTCGAAAATTTTTTTTCCAAAAGCTTATAGTTTACTCAAATCAGTTTTTTGCATTTTCTGAACAGTTAACATTTCTGCAATAGTGCCCTTTCTGCAATATGTGATTCAATTATAATTTAACACCAACCTAGACATACGTTGTCCTAATTTCTCAACTTTGCTGATCTAGGGTGTCTTTCTTTTAAAAACGGAAACGTTGGCATGGTACTGTTTGACAGGTGGCGATAAATATCACTTAGTAAAGGAAAAATCTATTTTCCAAAATTTAAGTGAATTCCATCCCTTTTTTGTAGTGTTTTAAAAACAATTTAATGATGAAATTGTAATTTTTAATCGTAGACCTTGATTTCGAACGCAATACTTGCTGTAACAAGAAGATCGTGCGTTTATGTGAAAAATGCCAAATGACTAAATTTGTAGAGAACTTTTTGCTCTAGAATAACACCATCTTTAAAACTGAAAATAAAATTAGATTTAAAAAAAATCATCGGAGTTATTTCATTCTTCACAGCATGTTTATAACCGTGCAAAAATACCGTTCTGATTACTCGTCTCCTACGGAAACTGGCCATAAGAAGGGAGGAAATGATTTTAGAGAAATTTTGAGAGCGGGATTTCATCACTAGAATCTTTTCTGTCATAAAAGAAGCTCTGTCTTTCTATCTGCAAATTCTTCCAGGAACCATTTGGCTCAAATTGAAGTTAGTCAAATTAGGGAGATAAGAGGAGAAAATTCCCAAACAAGCTATTTTGGGCTAAAGTTGCTCGCTAGGGTCCCGAGAGACACAGGCTGAAAGTCCCCATTGATATCCCTTGTGCTTAGCCCCCAGCTCTCCCAAAGCCTCCCAAAAAGGCTAAAAAATCGATGTTTCGACTACATCTTTAGAGCGGTTGGAGATGGATATTGGAGCACTTGAGACCAGATATTCGGCACCCTCATGCCTTACCGCATGCTTGTGTGCAGCCGCAAAATATTGAGTTGAGCACTTTCTCCTTTGCTGGCGCTAGGGACATGTGAACAGGAGGGAGTTGCGCCCTCTCTAAGCACCCGCCCCAGTCTTGGGGAGGCAATTGATTGCCCAGCCAGTGCTTCAATATCTGTCAAAATTGCTACGGTGAGGCATGCGAATGAAAGTCCGAAGAGGTGGAAAGCTTGGAAGAAGAGGAAAAAAATTTTAAACGACGTTGAAGCGACTTTTGATGATGATCTCGAGTTAGAAGCCTCGGAACCACGCGTTATTCTACCTTGCTAACGAAAAACGCCGCACGAACATTTGAGGGTTGCCAAAGAGCCTCCCAAAATTTGGCCCCTTTCTAGGTATTCGATTCGACCATCGGACCAAGGTTTAAATGGAAGCTTATAGTAACAGAAAACTCAGGAAAAAATTTCAAGATGAGTATAGGAACCGTTTTCGAGTTACGGGGGGGCAAAGGGGTCACAATCTGGCCTAATTTTTTGCTGTTTTCTTGTAGAATTGATGTATCGGCGGGGTTCTTATCGTTGTTTACGCATGTGTAGCACATGGATTCCTACGTGTTTTTACACGTAGAATCGATTTTTAACGTTGCCGAATCGATATATTGATCAGTTAAATCGATTTTGAACGATTTTTTAAGGAAAATCGATGCTATTTCAGGATCGAAATTGTTTATTTTCGATTCATGAATGAATAAATGCACCTGAAATGACTGAAGCACATGT